CTGCCACTGGTGCCACTGCTGCTGCTTTCTGCTTTGCTGTGCTGCAACTGCTGCTTTGCTGTTGCTGCTGCTGCCACCGCCACTGCTGGCTGCTTGCTTTTGCTCAGATCACTACCAAATTCTCCGCGGCGCAAGGTGGAGTCGAATGGGGGGGGGAGGGCCCCCCCCCCTTGACATTTAAAACCAACTCTTAAACGACCGAAATCAAGCACCGGACCACTTCACCGCCCCCAATACATAAAGCAAAGACAACTCAGGTAGCGTAACCGCTACCTTTCGTGACCTTCGCCAAACTTTCGCCTTTTGCGGGGTAGAGTTTTGTGGCAAAGCCACCCCCCCAAAGCAGGAGCAGGAATAGTAGTAGTAGTAGTAGTGGTAGTAGTAGTAGTAGCAGCAGCTGCAGCAGCAGCAGGAGAAGTAGTAGTAGTAGTAGTAGCAGCTGCAGCAGCAGCAGGAGTAGTAGTACTAGTAGTAGTCGTCGTCGTCGTGGTGGTGGTGGTGGTGGTACTAGTAGTAGTGGTAGCGGTAGTGGTAGTGATGGTGGTAGTAGTAGTAGTAGTAGCTGCAGCAGCAGGAGTAGCAGTACCAGCAGCAGCAGGAGTGTAGGAGGAGGAGGAGGAGGAGTAGTAGCAGCAGCAGCAGGAGTGTAGGAGGAGGAGGAGGAGGAGTAGTAGTAGTAGTAGTAGTAGCAACAGCAGCAGAAAGAACATCTTTAGCCATATCTTTCGCCCCCCAAAATATACTTTCGCCAACTCGAGAAACAACTTTTGCCAAATGAGATTTTGATATGTTCCGGGTCATCGTCATCAACAATCCTGTCTAGGACCTTTAGATCGACAACCACATGCGAAATGCAAACATGGATTCCTCCGAAGACTTTGGCAGCGAAAGAAAGAGTGGAATGCACACATGGAGCGCACGGAGTGGTGCAAAGCAAGCAGTACGGGCTTGGACTTCGTAGTTCTTTTGGCACCAAGCACAATGCGCATGAAATGCAAGCGACTCAAGATTCAAAACCAAGGGTCGGGCGCAAACTTTTATTTCAATTTCACGCTGGTATCGGGCGTTGCTTTTCTTTTCTTCTCACACGTCAACTCTGCTCCCCTGAATTGGCATCTGCCCCCTCCGATTCTTTTCTTGCCAATGGATTGATTATCCCGACTGTTCAGTGGCCTCTCTTCATCACGTGTGCAAACGGGGGTGAAAGTTGAATACGAAACTACCAGCAGAACAGTCCGAAAGGTATAAGAATTCTTGGGATGAAGGGGAGTAGAAACCAGTATGATTAACTTTGCTAGGCAAGGGTTGGGGCGAATCAATCCTCTTGCATCTCCTCCACCCCTTATTCTTTCAGTAGTCTTCAAGAGCATATCTGCAAATAGGAGTTGAGCAAGGAACAACCACCAAGTCACTATCTGAGAAAGAGGCAAGTTTATTGAGACTTGACTAGAAGGAGATCGTTGATAACAAAAGGACAAGCAAACAAATCAATTCTACCAGCACCAGCAGGGGAGGGACGGAATAAAAGGAAACAATGCGCTTGCCGAACAATGCAGCCTACGATTCAAATCTTCTCTTGCGTGGGGTAAGCAATCTTGTTACAAAAAACACCCGAGCCCGCACAAACACTTTGTGCGCATAACATTTTGTCCAAATGAGGTCAGTTTCTGTTTGGGCTTGAGAATGCATGTTTTGTCGATAAGTGCATGACTTCTTTAGTGACATGTGGTCTTAAGGGAAACTTTGCACCTGCCCAGCCGATACTGCAGCATGAAGCCAGTTGATGAAAGCGCTGCGCGTCACAGGACCTGAGAAGGGGGGACGAAAGCCAGCAGCCGCCAGACGAGTGTCTCTTTTTCTGGCGGGCGTCGCGCCACAAGACACATGGTCGGCAGCTTGCGAGTCAGCGGTGGCGCGGATGCGGGGGGGGTATGTAATGGGGATGGAGGGAGCAGAGAAGCAAGCCCGGCGGCTTTGGGATAAGTTTGGTATGAAAGAAGTAAGTAATGAAAGAGAAGTGCGATACGTTGTATGTTGGCGTAGGTCCGTCTGAGTTCGGGTGGTGGGATCGCGCGCGCGCGCGAGTACGGCATGCGGTTGAAAAGAAGCAGTTATGTGTTTGTTACATTTGGAGTGTTTGAAATTTGCAATGCACACCGCGGCGCGTCGAAATGTGGCATTCGTTGACTTGGAAGAGTGAACGGGCACGTCTTAGCCGGGACACGGACGTTTGATCCCACGGCGCAGAAGGGGAGGTCCAGCAGGAGTAGCTTGGGCTAGCAAAGGAGTGAGGATTTGTGTGCCTATCGACGCACATGCCTGGACTTGAGTGAGTCATGCTCTGGCTCGATCCAAAAATCTTTTCCTTTAAAGGGGCCTTTATTAAACGATCCAAGCACCTTCTTTATTCTTCTCTTTCTTATCAACTCTGCGCCTTTCTCACTCAGAGGCCTTGACTTTGGCACCTGCGTGTGTAGATCCTTGGGCCGTGGGCCCAGGCTGACTGGATTCGGCCAGGGCTGCCAGCAAAAAGGCGACGTCATGAGTCAGTAGTATATAGAATCTATCTATCTACCTATCTATCTGTCTGTCTATCTATCTATCTCTTTCTATCTATCTATCTACAGGAAGCCTATGAAACGAATCGAATCGTGAATATCGAGCCGGTTTTGAAACGGAAACGCTCGAAACCAAACGAACAACGAATCGGAAACGATTGAAACGATAAATTATTTGAAACGAAACGAAACGCAGCAAATAAATTTGTTAAACGAAACGAACCGAACCGAAAAAACACAAAAACGAAACGTGAAACGGCGGAAACGAAGGGCGAGAAAAATTACGAAACGGCCGAATCGCCTGGCACCCCCTGGGTCGGCGGCAGGGGTTGGAGCCCCTCTCTCCTTCGGAGAGGAGAGAACCCTCCAACGGGGTTTGCTACCTGTTGCTTTACCGGCTACGGGCCATTAGAGAAAAAAGCGCA